GTGGACTAACGACGAAACTCTATTCTCAATGAGCGCCTAAATACAAGCCGTGAATGGAGAATTTGGTCATCTCTTTTTATGTGTTTATCACTCAACATGGTTATATCGTAACATTTTACTATTGTTTTCTCATATAAAAGACTTTTTCAATATTTTTGTCAAAATAAATCATTCAGATTGGATTTGCAATTGTATTATCTGACTTAGTTATCTCCCTTTAATAGTATTCATGATTCTTATTGTATCTTAACCAATACCAAAAGTTGAAATACCTTGAATGTTGCAAACATTCAGACGCCACATCTGTCACATTACACATATGAAAGCGACGAATTTAAAAGTTCAAAGGCTAACTGATGATATATTAATTTAATTCCAATAGTCAAGTGAGGGAACTGATCACAAATGTAATATACACTTATCAATAAAAATTATACAAATTGGTCCTCTTTTCCAAATGACGCTATTGAAGCACGCGTTTTCACTTTGGCTGGACAACATTGACATTGAGAAATGACTAGGAGTTTACCTCTAGCAGACGATTTTTCTTTCTAACATCCATACGTATTCACCTATTACACAGGAGACAGAGATATTATCCTGTCCTATCTACTATCTATCGCCACATATTTAGGGCACGTTCTATGGTCGCATCCACTAAAGGGTAAGCGATGTTTCAACATCAAATCCCCACTCCCTTCTCTTGTGATTTTCGCATAGTTGTTTTTCTTTGGATTGTTTGATGTCGGCGGCGTTTACAGATATAACTACTTTGCCTTGTACTATTTCTATTTAGTTCAGTGCGCATGCGCAATTTTCATTTCCCATCACGTGGGTTTGTTTATACGTCACAATTACAATCATACTAACAATGATAATGGGTGTAACTGGGTTATACCAGGGAGCTTTGATGTGTGGTAAGTCTAGGATACTTAATGGACTTACGGACCTCTCTTCAATTGTATTACTCACGTAATACATATACTAAAATTGGAACGATACAGAGAAGATTAGCATGGCCCCTGCGCAAAAGGTGGGGCATAAAGTTCTCCGTGTTGGGGGAGAAAGGGGGGAAAGAGGGGCAAGAAAAAGGGAGAGACCTGTGTGTTACTATTCATAGTAATGTTCCAGTTTTCTTCTATTAGTGCATTTGTTTCACTATGCTTCTTTGAGGATATTTTTACCTATTTTTGTGATCAATTTTAGAGTTTTCTCAGCAAATATTTATATTTATAAGTTTTCCAACATATGGACGAATGTGAGAATTGAACTCACCACCTCCAAAAAATGGAAGATCACCAGTTTCACCTTTTTTGGTTGGAAAACTTTTCTTATAAGATTTGGCCAAAAAATTCTTGTTAAATACCTTTGAATGAAATGAGTAGCAAAGGTACATATATTATATTAAAGGTTTTCCATGAAACATTTAATAATAAGAAAATGTGTTTATAAAATTAATACCCTTGAATTAGTATAAAAAGTATTAAAATTTTAAAAATGATGACATGAAATATAAAAAATGAATATAATAGTGAGCAAATACAACGGTGATAATATTAACACAAATATTAATATTAAGCCACAAATATGGGATAGTAAAAGCATGCAGATGACATAAGTAATAATGAAGTATAGTGATGGATAAATCTAACTTGATATGACTA